CCAGACCCAAGATGAGCATAAAGGTTTGTGGGTTTTATAACTTGTGATCAAGAACGAGAAGACTTTGTCTTAAACTTGTGCTGCAGTCATAGTATCAGTATAAAACACATTCACTATAATAAGAGGATCTGCATGCAAAGAAAGAGTTAAATAATAATGATGATGATAATGATACATATTTTACATATGTACACGAGTCCTTACATAAATAAATTCTGAACATCAAATGAAGATTTATACATAAAATGGTAGTCAATTAAAAAACTTCATGGCAAACATAGCCAGTAATATATGGTTCTTGTTTTCTATTTCAGATGATAAACCTCCTTGTAAAAAGAAGAACATGTCAGCCCTGGACCAGCTGTTGGGAGAAGACTTTCAAGTAAGGACGGCATCTAGATCTGTGAGGGACCAGGCCAATGAAGAAGTCAAGAGGTACAGAGAGCGTGATCCTTTGCCCCTGAAAAAAAACCCACTACAGTGGTGGAAAGAACAACAGGACTTGCCACTGCTGTCATCTATGGCTAAAATGTATCTCTGCATACCGGCCACCAGTGTGACATCTGAGAGAGTTTTCAGCACTGCAGGAGATGTTGTTTCCACAAAACGCAGTCTACTCAAACATGAGCATGTGGATCAGCTGATTTTCCTTAAGAAAAATCTGCTGCAAAAAAACGATGAGGACAGTGATTATGATGAATAAAAATATAATGTAGGTAAACATACAAACATAAGGAAGTGAACTACTTCACTGTGTTTGAGTTCAGATTGAACCTGACGTGAATGTAGAAATGCAGGACATTACTTTTGTTCAGACTACCTCACCAGGTCAGAAAGCTGCACTTTGATTTCTTTTATACATGTAATCGGCACTTTGACTGTTGATATGTGCTACTGATTATCCATGCTGCTGATCTGATCTCATGCTGCTGTTTAAATGACATGATGTTATATTAATCTGTGCCCACCTGCTCACACAAACTCATGTTCGTGCTGCTGTTGTTAGGCGTACTGTTCTTGCATTATGTTTTTGTATTATTAAGTTCAAGTTCAAGTTGTGTTTATTTGTCATATGCAAGGTTAACACAATGAAATGCTCAGGATGAGAAGAACCGATTTGACTTGCTAAAAAACAAAAAACAAGCAAACACGAAATACTAAAGCATGCAATAAGGGTACAAAATAAACTACCAAAAAGTGAAAAAGTAATTATAATATTTACAAAGTTTCTGAAGAGAAAAATGGTAAACAACAACATTGTAGAATTTTTACAGTGAAGCAGAATGAATTTGTGTGAATAAGTATTTCAAGGTAGTAATGTAATATAAGCTAAAATGCACTTGATATATATTGCACATAACTACCAAACTACACAGGGTATGTGACAGGTTATTGCACAGGTGCTTTGTGCTTACTGTAGCTTATTCCTATTTTTTTTAATTACATGCTGCTGTAATCATTTGTGCATTTTATAATTTTTCTTTATTTTCTCATTTTATATTGATCCCATCAAACAAAGAAATATTCTTTTAGCTGGTCTTTTTAGGTCCATGTCTAAAAATAAACACATTTGACATGTGATTCTGTTGTTTGGCTTTTTACTTTATTTTTGCCAGTGCCTTACTGCACAGTTGATATATGTAGACTTTTACAAATTTAAAAATAATGTAAGAATGTCACATTTATAGAAATGGCCCTTTTTGTTCATAATTAAATATTTGTCTACATTCAACAAATGTTCAACTGTAGAATTATATAAAGTTGAATCGAATCGAACCGAATCGCTCTTCCACTGTATCGAATCGAATCAAATCGTTCTGTTTTTAAAATAAATCATTTTTGAATCGAATCGTAACCTTTGTATCTAGATGCGAATCGAATCGTCTATCACACAGAGATGTACAACCCTAGTGTATGCTAGTTTTTATTGTTGATGTTAGAGTTAACCAGTTTTTTGGGGCAAATGTTTACACCAGATGCAGTGAACAGTAACAATAAAGATGACATTTAAATGTCCGAATGAAGGCAACATTCTTCAAACTCAAACTTAAAAACATTAGGAAAAAAGAAGGTGTCACCTTTAGCTAATAAATGAATCATTCACTAACTGTACATACTTGAAAAATATACAGTATATATTTGTTACAGCTATGCCTACAGGGATGTAGACTCAAATATTGGCCTCCTACCTTTGGACTGCACAATGCATGAAATTAAAAGAAATAAAAAGTAGTTTATGAAGAATTAATTGCATAAGTTTATTATATAACAAGTAGAACTGTATTCACACTTGACATGTAACTACACAGATACTTTGATACTCTCTTGCACCTACTTTGTGTAATGACAAAGAGATGGAGCAAGCAGTTGCCACGGAAACAGATGCAGTTATTCTTTTTCTGTCTTGTTTCTTCATGTCTCTGGGGTCTAGCAAAAAAAAGTGCAACTTTTTTATTGTGTTTAAGGATGATGGAAAATTAGTTGGAGGTTGTTAGAAGCTTTCATTGTGTCAGTCAGTGAACCTGCAGGTTTATTATTGTTCTTCTACAACGTTTCAAACAAGACACAGCAAGGAGAAATAAACATGTTGACTAAGGCTGAGATGGTATAGACTAAATATCACCTGCTGTCCAACACATAGGATGATGAGGTTTTTGCCTCTGTGTGTGTGTGTGTTTGTCCTTGTTTATGTTACTTTGTAAGGCCCCTTTTTTCCAACTTATACTACATTGTGAGGACCAACTGCTCCTTATGGGCTCCAAAGCCCGAGCCCCATAAGTCAAGTCAAGTCAAGTCACATTTATTTATATAGCACATTTAAAACAGTAACTGTTATCAAAGTGTGTTCCAAAAAATAAATCACAGCATCAAATGTTAATAACAAGATATTACAGCAACATGAATAAAAGCATAAAAACATTAAATATAATGAGAAACAATGAAATACTAAATCAAATCACCCTGCATTAAATGTCAGGGAGTAAAAGCAAAATGGATGAACACAATCATCAACAACGAAATACCAAATGAGATCACACTGTGTTAAATGCCAGTGAGTACAGATGTGTCATAAGAAGAAGTCCCGTTGGTGGGTTAGGGGCTAGGTTTAGTACTAAGGTGTGAATTAAGGATGTGTTAGGTTTAGGGTTAGGTTTGTTACTAGTAATGGTTAGGTTTAGGATAAAGGACAGGATTAGGCTATAGAAATGAATGAAAAATGAGTGGGTCAATGCAAAGGCCCCATAAAGATAGCAAAACAAACCTGTGTGTGTGTGCGTATGTGCGTGCGTGTGTGCGTGTGTGTTGGTTTAAACAAACTATGTTAAATGCTGAAATAAAACAAATTTAGATTTAATTTAGTTTATGCATATCATGCCAGCATAAAAACCAGCAGATTACAGCAAATTTGAACCTGGTCACACAACCCCATCTTGAGCAGCTTGTTAGGAGTTGAGAGGACAGGAAAGAGACACAGACACATATTGACTCATCCTGGTTCAGTTTTTATGGGATGTAACTGACATGGTAATGGAAACAATAACTGCCTGTATAAACATGGAGAATAGAGTCAGTAAAGACAGCAACAGCTTGAAGAAATGTGGTCAGTTTGTCCTCCAGTAGTCTAAACCTACAGCAGAATAACTAAGGGACAGCTCAGGAAACCCAAGCTGAGACAATGTGTCAGTTTCACGGACAGGAACTGGAAGTTTGTTCCACAAGAGAGGAGCCTGAGAACCGAAAGCTCTGCTTCCTATTTTCCTTTTAGAAACTCTAGGAACCGCAAGTAAACCTGCAGTCTGAAAGTGAAGTGCTCTGTCAGGAAAATATGCAACAATAACATAAGATGGTGCTAGGTTGTTGAGAGCTGTGCATGTTATAAGTAGGATTTTAAATTCTACTCTGAATTTGACAGGGAGCCAGTTGTGAAAAGCTTAAAGTAAAGAAATATAATGTCTTATTCTAACTTTTCTCTGAACTCTAGCAGCATTTTGGATCAGCTATATCTTTTTGAGAAAAGTTTCTTGGACTTTCCTGTAATTCCATATTTATGTTGAAGCCACTGTAATACAATACAGTAGTCCCTTGCTACGTTGTGGTTCGTTTTCCACATACTCGATCTATCGCGGTTTTTCAAAATAAGATTGGACATGACACACAATTGGTTGATTGATGGATGAGCCGCACGATCACCATGAATTTTTTTATTTAAAATAAATTATTTTAAATTATTTAGCACCTGCTGCACTACAGCCCATAGCTGCAGAAAAAAGCTCCCTCCTGCAGCTGATCTCGTGCAGAGCGGAGAAGTGGGCGTGGCCAACAGCGCTTGCAGATGGCAGAGAACAGAAATTATGACATTCTGTGCTCTTTTAGAGAGGTTAGAGTATCCCTAGGTGTGGGTGAGAGAGTGAATGGTTGTTTGTCTCTATGTGTCCCTATGATGGACTTGCAACCCGTCCAGGGTGTACCCCGCACCTCACACAGTGACTGCTGGACATGGGCACCAGCGACCCCCGTGACCCAAAATGGAAGAAGTGGGTAAAAGATAATGGATGGATGGATGGATATTAAAATAAACTACTATTCCTACTTTGCGGTTTTTCACTTATCGCGGGGCTTCAGGGTACGGACCCCGGTGATGAACGAGGGACTACTGTATTGCGATCAATTATATCAAATGCAACACAAAGATCATTTCAAATCAAAAATAGACACAAGCCCACTGTGGAGGCCAGAAGAACACATCAGTAACTTTTATCACTGCTGTTTTTGTGCTATAGTGAGCTCTAAGGCCTGAATAAAACTCTATTTAAAATATTAACCTTAAAATTATATTTTGTTCATATTTTCCTAGATGTCTGTTCAATATAAAATGCTCACATGGAGTATATATGGCATCTGTGAGCTCTACTTCCAACCAGGGTCAATGCCATTAAAAGAGCAGCATGCAAGGACTATTTCCTCCTTGAACTTGTGGATATGTGTGTTTATCTCTGCAGAGGAACTCTAAAGGACAGACTCTGATGGACGTGGTGTGTGAGCACCTCAACCTGCTGGAGAAGGACTATTTTGGCCTGACCTTTGCCGACACAGACAGCCAGAAGGTCAGTGAAATATGTACACCCCCCCCCCCCCCCCCCCCCACCAAAAAAAAAAAAAAAAAAAACAAAAAAAACAAAACCAAAAAAAACAGAAAACAAAAAAAAAATCTCACGGGACAGTCCAGATCATAAACATGTCGTTCACAGAACAATCTGTATTCCTCTGACTTGTGGACTGATCAGCTCTCCCCGACTGCTGTATTCATCAAAAACAAAAGAGCAACAGAAATGTTCAATCTTTGTCTGGGTCTAAACAAAAGGCAGTTTGATTGACTTGTGCAGCTGGACATGACATGAAGAAACCTCTTATCTACTCAGTGAAAGAAGCATTCATGAAATGTGGCTCTGCCTGCTTAGAGTGTGGTGGAAGAAATATCTCCATGGTGTTAGTTAAAATATGGACTGAAGCTATTGTCAGTTTAAAGGAAATTTTAAAAGCCAAGGAGAGCAGTTACATGTTTTAATAACTGAGGTCTGTATGTTGAGTATGTAACAATAGTAAATTAAAAAGTACACTAATTACAGTTTAGCCTAAATATCTACTTATGTTTAACTTTTGACAGCACTGACATGATTACTCAGACTCTAGTGTGGTGGGATGTCTTACTGATATTTTGCTGAAGTGTATGATCTATGTGATGGGGGAGTGGTGGTGCAGAGGTTAGAGAAGGCAAGCATGTGATCCGAAGGTCGCCGGTTCAACCTCCCACACCAACAACATCAAAATGGGGGTGTGAAAGGTGAAGCACTTACACCTGCCTCCACCCTCATTTTCCCCATTCTGGGCCCTTGAGCAAGGCCCTTAACCCCCACCATCTGCACCTCTGAGCACCCTAGATGGCAGCTCTCTGCTCCACACAGAGGGCTGTGGTAGCTTAGTGGTCTGTGGTTGTGTCAGGAAGGGCACCTGGCAGTAAAACAGTTTTCAAGTCTTCATACAGGTTATTTTGCTGTGGCGACCCCTGAAGAAGGAGCAGCCGAAAGAAGAAGAAACAATCTTCATGTTCAGCTCTGAGTAATGTCCAGTATGTAACTGTGAGCAGTATAAATCAAATTACTATAAATCATGACAGAAAAACAGTCTTGTGGACATCACTGAATGAGCCCTATGTACAGACTTAGATCTTAAAGTGTAAGTTGTAGACACATCAGTCGACGGACGTCCAGTCCACCTTGCTGCTGTGTTCCTCATGTGTTTTCAGCTGAAGGAGTCTCAACATAAACAGAGGTTTTACTTTTAACCCTAAACATTCACAGAAGAGAAAGTGAGGGATAAGGAAAGTGTGGGTTTATTACAATTTATATCAGTTCAATATTAAACAATCTAATAAAATTGTCAGGTCCTCTGGACGGATTCAAAAAATAAAAACGTGTTGAAATGTTTCGTCTTTAATCCAAAAGACAAAACGTTTCAACAAGTTTTGCGTTTTTAATCCGTCCAGAGGACCTGACTTAACTTTATTAGATTTTTCTACCTGGATTATTGAACATGCATCAGGAAATATTAAACAATAATTTTGCATATTGCAAGGTTTTTTTTTTATATCGTGCAGTCTTACATGTGAGCTTTAATAAATGTTTTCTAAACTGAAACTTGTCAGGTCTCTCATCATTTTGAAATTTTCAAAAGTCTGACTGATCCTTGTGGCTTCATTACTTATTATATTCATTACTCATTATTACACAGTGCACATACCAGGCCTGTTATCCAATAATCATTTGTTTAATGCCAAACTGATGGGTTGGAGATGTCGGCTGACACAGCTCTTGGCTTGACGTTGGTTTTGATCAGTTCGAGTCTCCCCACAGGCGTGTATGTGATTGCATAATACTACAGTGGAATCCTCTGCTTTTGAAGAAACGTTCCTTTGAACATCTTGGGTAAATCCACTCTCCTCCTAATCTTTGCTTTGTAAGCTGGTATGTCAGGCCTTAATGATGGCATGTTAGTTCAAGCGTAATGTCAGCAGTAAATGACAGGTTAACTTGGCTGTTTGTGAGGACAAAGATGTCTGAAGTAAAAATGTTTCCTCTATCTTATTCTGTGTATAAAGCTACATCTTTGGTCAAAAGGACAGTGTCATCAAAGACAGGCTTATCAGAGCATAGCTGCAGACTGCTGTTTATCAGTAGACATTAAAATGCCCTTTCAGATGCTCTTTTCCCAGTCTCAGTGGGCAGAAGGAAAATGTAATCTTTGCTCTTCATGGAAACATTTCTCATGAGTGATTGATTTATGAAAGAATATAACAAACCTTGAGTAAAATCTTTAATGGTCAGTAATTAAAGAGTCTTTGGCCTTTCCAAAGAGAATATCAAATCAGCAGAAAGCACCTGGATGACATAGTTCATCAAGTCAGCAGATAGATTTGATAAATGCCTGACACTATAGTAGCCTGAATAAACACAGAATACGGGTGTGCACTTGCCCTTACGACTCTGTGAATGAGTGTCTGACAGCAAATTGTCCTTAAAGGCTTTAGGATTGGAGGTTTCAGTTTCAAGCTTTCATGTTTCTGCTTTCACTCTGATTTAAATCCAGCTGACAAAATGTATCAGTGTTAATAAGACCCTGCTCTCGTTGTATTCAGCTTTCCAAGGCTTACTGTCAGCCCTCTGCACCACAGGCAGTTCCAAACTTTGAAACGTGCAGCAAACATGTAGGTGTGAATGCAAGGATCAAATCAACAACTATGTAAAGTAAAACCCACTGCAGTATGTTCACGTCTATGAAGTTTTGTGAAGAGAAAAAAAGCGCCACTTTTTAGTTTATGATATATCAGTGGTTTAACAGAAAAGATGAGATGAATGAAAGAAAAGCTACAGTGGTACTTGAATGTTTGTGAAGTCTTTTGAATTTTCATATTTCTGCATAATTTTATTTTCTTGCAGCTGCTCTCTTCTCAGGGGTCACTACAGTGAATTAACTTGCACAAAGTCTGGTCAATTGTTTTTATGCCACATACCCTTACTGACGCTACCACAGCTCTTTGTGTGGAGCAGAGAGCTGCCAGCTAGGGCACCTGGGGGAGCATATGGTAGGAATTAAGGGCCTTGCTCAAGGGCCCAGAGTGGGGCAAATGAAGGTGGAGGCAGGTGTGGGTGCTTTACCTTTCCCCACCCACATTTTGATGTTGTCAGTAGGGGGAGCTGAACCAGCGACCTTCCGATCACAGGCCCACCTTCTCTAACCTCTGCACCACCACTACCCCAAATTCCCAAATCTCCTCATATTTCTGCATCAATATGACCTAAAACATCATCAGATTTTCACACAAGTCTTAAAAGTAGATAAAGAGAACCCAGTTAAACAAATGAGACAAAAAATAGTATATTTGGTCATTTATTTATTGATGAAAATGATCCAGTATTACATTTTTGTGAGTGGTAAAAGTATGTGAACCTCTAAGATTATCAGTTAATTTGAAGGTGAAATTAGAGTCAGGTGTTTTTGATCAATGGATGATGATCAGGTGTGAGTGGGCACCCTGTTTGATTTAAAGAACATGATCTATCAAAGTCTGCTCTTCACAACATGTTTGTGGAAGTGGATCATGGCAGGGACAAAGGAGAATTCTGAGGAGCTGAGAAAAAGAGTTGTTGATGCTCATCAGGCTGGAAAAGGTTACAAAACATCTGTAAAGAGTTTGGACTCCACCAATCCATAATCAGACAGATTGTGTACAAATGGAGGAAATTCAAGACCATTGTTACCCTCCCCAGGAGTGGTGGACCAACAAAGATCACTCCAAGAGCAAGACGTGGAATAGTCTGTGAGGTCACAAAGGACCCCAGGGTTCTAACAACTGAAGGTCTCTCTCACATTGACCTATGTTGATGTTCATGTGTCCACCATCAGGAGAACACTAAACAACAATGGTGGTCATGGCAGGGTTGAAGGAGAAAGACACTGCTCTCCTCCAACAAGAATATTGCTGCTAGTCTGCAGTTTGATAAAGATCATGTGGACAAACCAGAAGACTGGTTTGGTGGGGAGTGGTGGCGCAGAGGTTAGAGAGGTGGGCCTGTGATCCGAAGATCACCGGTTCACGCCCCAGCCCCGACAACATCAAAAAAATTGTGGGTGGGGTAGGTGAAGCACCCACACTTGCCCCCTCCCTCATTCGCCCCACTCTGGGCCCATGAGCAAGGCCTTTAACTAGGGCATTAACAGATTACTCGAGTAATCTACACATCGATTGCTAGAACATCTATCGAGGTTAAAAATGTAAGGTCGAGTAACCGTAGTGAAGTCATATTATGTGACCACCATATGACTGTAGGGGGCGGTGTTGCAGGTCACAAAGTATGGTGTAACACCGGGTGCAATCCACCGAACCAGAACCAGCTTCCTCTTGTTTCACAAACAAAAAGCAAAAGATATTCATCTCTAAACCTATAAAAAAAAATCTATAAACATATTAATCTTTAAAACTAAACTTAATGCGCACCACAGCTGGCAGTGGTGTGGGGTGGTCGCCCCCCCCCCACTGTTAAGTTTCGTTTTTGACGTGCTGCACGTTTCTTCACGTTTGCAGTTTAATAATAATAACTAATAGTTATTGTCAATTGCCAATTGTCCCCTCTTACAATGCTGTGATTGCTAGTATCACTTAGCCCTCTGTGAACAGTAAACAGCCATCAGTGTGCGAATGATCCATTGTTAGGTTGATGGTCCTTCTTGAGCATGTGATCAGCTGGTTTTGGTTGTCAGCAGCAAAACTGGTTGATCCACTCTGAGAAGGTGCTATTTAAGAGACTGAGCTGAATACAGCGCCTCAGACTGAGGAAGTTTCTCGGATGAGAGATGAAACGTTTCTACATTTTTTGTTGTTTTGCTTTTTTAGGGGGGGGGGTTTAATGTCCAGAGGACCAGATTTAACTTTTTTATATTTTTCTACCTGGACCTCTACATCAGGAAACTAATAGTTTAGTTTTTTCCTGTGACTTATTTGCAGTATGATAAATGGTAGGAGCATAATATACGCTCCCAATGTTTTGTT